GGAAGTGTGTCATAAGGCCACACCCCCTGACATCACCGGAAGTGTGTCATAAGGCCACACACCCCGCCCCCAACGGTCCCGGCCGCCACCACCGGCCTTGCAGCTCCACTGCCGAGCCCCATGAGGGGCCCGGCGGTGGACCTGCAAGGCCAGCGGGAGTGCAAGGAAGCCCCGCGAAGGCCCTCCCTGGCCCCAGGCAGGCAGGGGTGGGGAGAGGCAGGGAGGAAGCAACTTCCCCTCCCTCTTCTCCTGCCTCCTCCTGGCTGAATGAGGGCCGGAAGCGGGGCGGCCGGAAGCAGGGGGCGGGGCTTCATCGTGTGCCCCGCCCCCCACACCTTACCCGGAGGAACTGTGTTCCCCCGCGATCCCCCCCGAAATGACCTCTTATTAAGAGTGATAATGTACCGGGTGACCATACGGCTGACACAGATGATGTACGTGAAGCCTTTGGACTACTCTAAAGCACTAACGGAGGCTGTCTGGGAGGAAGTCATTCTTCAGTCCTGGCAGCCTCCTCGGTGAATGGGTGCTTCGGACTTACAAAATCCAGCTTTCTCATACGAAACTGCCTTTTACTTAGTCATGGGTCCAGATAGCTCAGCACCATCGACTCTGATTGGCTGGCAGCTGGTCACAGCCTCAGGCAGAGAATGGCCTTTCACGCTGCCTGTTGTCAGAGGTTCTGCAAGTGGAGGCACCAGGGACTGCATTCGGGACCTTCCGCACAAAAAGCAAGTGCTCTGTGATTGGACCACAGCCCTTCTTACCTCATCAAAAAGAGATGAACAGAGAGGTAGCCATGTTGGTTTGTTGCCAGTGAACTCAACAAAGAGTCCTGCTGCGTTTTACGGGCTTCTGTCACCAATCAATCTTGTTTTGTTACAGCGGTGATGCGAGAATGACTCCTGCTCAGTATAATGTAGCCTGCTTTGGGGTTTTTTTAAAATCACACCTTGTAGATTCTGTACGGCTTTGTCTCTGATCGGCTGCGTGGCTTTCTTGTATCGGTGTCGGGACCTTTTTTGCTGGGTATCTGAGCTCATTATCTTGTTTGCACTACCCCCTTTTTAAAAAGAGACCCTTTCAGTTAGCTTGTGGTTGCGAAAAGGAAATGATTATGTAATTCAGTTTCTGTTCGATACTCTCTACCACCACCTCCAGAACTAGTAACAAAAACAGAAGGGAAATGCCGTGTGGTGATAAGGAGGAATGGAAAAGTGGATGAGCGAACAGGTGGGTCAATGAATGGAGTGAGTGCAGTTCAGTTACAATTCATCTCAACATCAGGTAGATTTACCCTCTGAACGTACGATGGCTTAAGCACCTCTCTCCAAGGATCCCGAAAATTACCGGGCCATTAGCAAGAGTTTGGCAGGACTTTTCTTCATTGCTTTTTATACCAAAGTCAGCCTTGGGCAGGTAGCATGAGCTTGCTTAAGGCAGGGGTCCCCATCCTTTTTGAGCCTGTGGGCACCTTCTGACACAGAGCAAGGGACGCTATCACAAAATGGCTGCCACAGGAGGCGGAGCCAACCGTACAATGTCATGGAATGTAGTTATGCACAATTCTAATAGTAACTCTTCAACATTTCAGGCAGAAGTTGTGTTTAATAGGATACCTTTGAACCTGCACAGCCAACCAGATACCCTGCTGGGCAAATGCCCCACCTAGCCCCACCCACTTTTGAAAAACTCCAGGCAGGCACCACGACAGTTGTTTGTGGGCACCATACATATTGGGGATCCCTGGCTTAAAGCCTTCCTATTTGATCACATTTCAGGTCATGATCTCCTGTGGAAGCATTTTCCAACCTGCAGGGGCTGGGGCTGCTTGAGGAAAGGGGACCAGTATGGTAGTGCAACTGGGTGTATGCATGCCCAATTCTTAAACAACTTGGCATATTTTCAACCAACTAATTGTCCATTTTACATTTTAAGCCTTAGCTAATTAGAATGGAAGGGGAGAGGAAATCAGAAGGGAAAACTCCGGCTAGTGGAATAGTGGGCCATCCTGCCCAATGGAACCAAACGGCTCTAATGGCAATCTGCAGATAGTTCTTTCATGCCGCAGACAACTAGAGAACTGTCCTGTACAGGACAGTGGAGGAGAGATCTTTAGCCCTACCTCTCTAGCAGCAAACTCTTCTTAGTCAAGAAGCAGAGTGGTGCAGGATCAACCCACTCTTCCTCATGGCCATAACTGGCCTTTTCTTTCCTACCCCAGAATAAGAGCCAATTCAAACATTCGGAAAATACAGGAGTACAGTCTTCAAGGGCTGTACCACTCCAGAATGCAGTTGTGGTATGGAATTTGCATGTGTCAATACTCCCATGTATTTTAAAAAAACTCCCTGGTGGCTTGGTACAGAAGGAAAGAGAGACTGGTCCCTAAGGCAGAATGCTCAGGACACCTGGCCCTGTAGTACTTGGGGGAGTGGTACAGAAAGTGACACCAAAAGGCCATTTGTCGCAAGTGGTGGAAGGTCTGTGACTCATATGCTGGTCTGAGCTGCTGATCCAGCACAGTGGTTGATAAGTAGGGTTGCCAGCGCCAGGTTGGGAAATACCTGGAGGTTTTGGGGGTGGTGCCTCAGAAGGGTAGAGTTTGGGGAAGAGCCTCAGTGGGACATAACGCCACAGAGTCCATCTTCCAAAGCAGCCATTTGCTCCAGGGGAACTGATCTCGGTTGCCTGGAGATCCGTTGTAATCCCAGAAGATCTCCAGCTACCACCTGGAGGCTGGCAACCTCAAATCTCCATAAAATCAAACAAAAATGGTTTGGTTCCATCTTATCAAAACGGAGCTGAAGGGCTTTCTTCCAGTAACCTCCCCCCCCCACAACCCCTACACCCATTGTTGTGGTTCCAAGCAACATAAAAGTACCAATCAGGCCAACTAACCAATAGAAGGGACCGTCATCGGTCGAGGCCTTTGTGGTCCCATGCCGCCATGAGAGATCCTTCGGCCCGGGTGCTCTGACCTGTCCAGCCGTCCAGAGGATGACGGGTTACCTAAAAGCTGAGCAGCCGAACAAACAGACAAAGGGAGAGGGGAGAGAAAGAAAAGTTGGAAAGTTACACTGCTGTGCGTGTCTTAGAAAGGTAGGGGGCAGGGTGTGTGGAATTAACGGGAAATCATCAATCATTGTCAAAAGCATAAGGTCTAAAGGCAACTAAACTTGGCTTTTAACTGAAAGGTTAGCTGAAAACAGGACAGATGCCGGCTAAACCTGGAAAAGGAAACAAAAAATAATAATAAAGAAGGACGTTGGCTAGCCCGATGTGGTATGCACGTTGCAAACAACAGTCACACATTGGAACGGAAAAAAGAGTTCAGACATTCTTTTGCCTTTGTTGTTGCCACTAAATGGGCTGCTGGTCCCTCGGGCCCCTCCTCGAAGAGGGACCACGCCTTTCCCAAGAGCTGCGAAGAGCACATTCGCCTGCATTGTCTGGGCTTACTGTTTCCTCTCCAGCTAGACTGTGTTGCCGTCTGCAGCATGGCCATCCGTCTCCTGCCATTTCTTTCCCCTACTGCTTGGTCTGTGGCCACCTACAGCCTTTTTCAAAGTCGTTAAGACTCGGGGGAGTCTTAATTCTTTTCATTCTCCCCCACCCCAGAACGGCACAGCTGGCACACTCAGCTCGCTAATTTGCTGGAAACGCCACTACGTTACAAGGCTCTTCGAGGGAACTGGTTTTTGTGACAACCAAGATTAAATGAAAAACTTGGCACTCATTTTTCCATGGATGGTTTTTTTAAGAGAGGGAGAGAGAGAGAGAGAGGAAAGAATCAAAGCAAGGATAAATGGCTGGCCAGATAATGCAGAAGCAGCAGAAGCTGAATCTACTGTCGTCGAGGAAGATGGAATATTTCAGAGGCTTCAATTCCCTGGATTGGTGCAGATTTGAAAGGTGAATAAGCTAATACATTAGAGGCCAGGGAGTTTCTGAATGGTAAAACACAAAGGCTGTGTAAAACGTAGCTGGCCCTCTTGTGGATTCAAAAAGAAACTGCTCTAGTTGCCCCTAGATGGAGAGTTGGGGCGGGGAAGGAATTACCCTGCATGCAGAGATGCAGTTTGCAACTTCAAAGGCAAGAAGAGATTATTTGTTTAAAAAAAGAGAAAGAGCAAAGAAGAAGGTGAAGAAGTAGAGGGGGAGAAAGGTGGACAATAGAAACACAACAAATCTTGTGACTTCAAAACCCTAGGTCACTGTCACAACAGGACAGGAAAGGACAGAGGCATTTGAGCTTGGTACTTGCCCAGAGATAAGGACTGAAGAGAAAGAGAATTCTTCCTTGAAAGTCTGGGAGCGAGGGAAGCAAAAACAATATGACATGATGGAATTTTTAAAGCAGACATTAAACAAACAAAAAAAGAGGTGAAAACAGGGAAGGGTCTTAAAAATCCCCAAGTTACAAATAAATTAAATTTTAATGAGTGCATTCAGAAAACGAACCCCCCCCCACATGCCAGTGTTGGGAAAATGGAAGTTCAGCTAACCCTTAATTAAAATTTAGTTTCAGTTGTCCTTTTATTAAAAAGAAAAGAAAAGCTACTTTTATTGTTATTATTAAAAATTGTCTGCAGGGGAAAAAATGATTCTTGTAAAGCAAATTAATCCCATTTTGGTACGGCACAAAATTAAAACAAACAGACAAACTAAAAGCAGAAGTATTAAGAGGCCTGTGAAGCAACATAGATTAATTAAAAAAAAATTAAGTGTGTGGGAAAGAACAAGAAAAGAAAATTAAACAAACAGCAAACAGGTGCCAAGGATGGACTTTTAAGAAAAGAAATAAACGAAGGATAAAAAGGAAGAAAGAAAAAGAGTTTGATTCGGCAAGCAGATGTTAGAAGGAAGTTTTTAACTTCAACACACCGGGGGGTCTTCAGGGTCCCTGTAGGAAGACTTTGCAAGTGGTATGGAAGATGCCCTAACGTCATTCATTTTTAAGCGGTTCCTCCAGTCTCCCTGATAATCCTCCTCGTGAGTCAAATTATTTGGTCTGTTAGACCTCTGAGGTTCGTACTTTCTCTCATAACCCAACTTGCCCTCTTCGCTTCGGGATTCAAGAAAGGAAGGGATGGGGTCTCCGAAGTCTTCTTCGACGCTGCTCTGCCTCGTCAGTGTTCTCCGGCGCGCAAGTAGTGGCCGCAGAGTTTTTTGGCATGAGCAGCTCCCGCCATCGGTACAACAGCTGGGTGCAATGCTGGCAGAAACTGCCTCATAAGTGTTCCGGAAGCTAAAGCGGGATTCTTCTTCTTCACTGCCGCAGTCCAGGCCGCTGTCTGGACTTCTTGTCGAAGACCGGCTGTATTTGTAACCTCTGTCTTCTGAGTCCTCCAAAATCCTTTGTTTTGCCGGGTGCCGGAAGTCATGCTGCTGCTCTTGATTGTAGGCCCTGGCGGATCTACTCTGTCTAGCTATTGTGCTTCGCATTTTGTGGGGTATCCCTAAACCCTGCTTGTGCAACAGTTCAGAATAATCGCCGTCCTCTTCCGCTACTTCGGGGATACTGAAAAGTTTTTTACTGTGGTGGATCTGCTGGGCAAAATCGGGCTGTTCCAAATAAGCCGCTTCAGTCATCCTATTCCTATAGCATTCCTTTAAAGAGTATGCAATTTTCAAAGAAACAAAAAGAACAGGCGAGAGGGAACAACCAGTGTGTGATCAAATAAAAAGATACAAACAAAAAAGAGGAAAGGGGGAGGAAAGAAAAAAAATAAAGACAGAATTAGTTTTAGAGCAATGGCGAACAGAAAACATGCAGCTTTTACTTAGTGAGGAAGGATGTCATGCTTTGAATGAGAATCTGTGAAAATAAAAGACATGGTTAGGACGTCGCTCAGTGTCAGATGCAGCGCAAGGATGTCGGTACAGCAGGCTGACAGGTCAACGCTTGACCAAGGATCGAACCAAACCCACGCTTTGAAAACAAAGTGGGGGGGGGCACAGAGGTAGTCTTCTCGCCATGCAGGGAACACTTGACATCTGCACAATGCTGAAACCACCACCACCACCACCCTGCCCGCCACTGCTCCATCCTGTCAAATCACCTCTCCACTCACTAAAAGAAGTTAGATGAAGAACGAGAAGCCACCAGCATGTCATTACGGCAAGGACAGCTGATCCCGTGTAATTTAGACCCCTTTTCTATGGATGGGACAGGAAACAGCCATGTTTTATTGGGGCGCTGCCGTTTTACTTTTTAGCGCTGAACTTGTCTAACCGTGATCCCGATTCGGAGGACATTCTATGAACTGGTTGTCCAAATCATTGCCATGATACTTAGTTCACAGCAGAACTGTATCTTGGTCCCTGCCAGAACGGCATGAAAAAGCAAGAAATTCAGGACCTTGGAGAGCTCCACACACAAAAAGAGACCTTTGTTGATGGATTGTTCGGCTTCCTTGTTTTAAAGAACACCTACCTTTTCTGTCTTGACATTCAATTTAGATATAATGTTAACACCATCTCTGTTTTGTTTTGGGGTTGCTTGCTTGTTTTTTGGTTTTTTTGCTTTCCAGTGCCAGAAGAAACTGCCGCATGGTGCATAGAAGCCTGGAAGGGAGTGTGTGCGTGTGTGTGTGGGGGTGGACTTTCTTTAACCATAAAGATCCTGCCAACTCTATGATTCTGTGAATCTGTCTGATGGTACAAGAAGTTAGTCTGTGAGCAAAAGGCCTGTGATGAGTAGAAACAATGGGCAGCAATTATAAAAAAACTACTGAGGATCCAGAATTCAGAATTTCACTGAATTCTTGGGCTCTTTGGGGAAAGACAGAGTTTTTTGTTCCCATTATTATTATTTTTATCTAAAAACCCACAACAGGATATATAAATCCCTGAAATGTTCGTCTCAGTCTGAAAGATGCTGCCAGTCTGTGACAGAATCAAACACTGTAGGCCGCACTAGTTCAAAACTATTGGACGCATCCTTCTGCACCCATCTCAGTCATTTTTTACCTTTAGCGTGTTATGCGAGGTCACGCTCACTCTTCTCCTCCCACCGTCCTCCAATTGCATCTCCGAGTAAAGCTCTTCCTCGTCTTCCTCCATGATGTCAGATAGGTCAGAACCCCGGCTGCTTTCAGTGTGATACTCCTCCCCATGGCTATAGTGGGGCTATCATTGGAGTGGGAAGAAAGATAAGGGGGGGGGAGCACAATGGACTTTTAAAATTAAGTCAAGGACAACCTCAAAGGGTCACTGGGGATCAGTGGAAGCTCCCAGAAGCCTCATTACTATCGGGGCTGAAGGTTTTTACAAAACCCAGGTCACTCTAGTACATGGCACAGGCTTCTGACAATCTCTGATTTCATTTTCAAAAAGGAAGCAAATCTTCTGAAATCTTCCCAGTATCCTCCTTGCTTGCTTAAAATATGGCAGGAGTTACCTGCTTTCCGAGTTCTGAGCCTTTTAAGAAATCATCGACTGAAGCCCCTCTCCTTTTGACGCGCGGTGAATCGTAGCCATCTTCTTCTTCATCAGAGTTTGCATAATGCACCGCATTGCTCCTTTCACTGAACACGTTCCTCCTCTCCAGCTGGAGAATTGAAAACAGAACACTGTGAGAGGAATCTTTCTCTGTGGACAGGATTTGAGGGCTCTGGTTTGAATCCAACCAGGTTTTTCTGCTGTTGTTTCACCAACAAAAGAAAGCTATGCTGGAGATCATGGGGTGTGTAGAGATGAAAGTTATATAATATGGGGGCTATATTAAGGTGAGGAACTGGGCGAGATTTTGTGGAATAGCTAGCTGAATCCAACCTAATGGGTTTATGAAGGTCTCAAAGAGATCCAGGGCTGCTTTCGAATCCTGGCTTTTTTCTTTCTTTCTTGTGCTACTCAGTCACTGCTTCTATGTAACCAGCTGCAAGCATTATTAAAAGTGTAGTTGTGGAGATAGAATGCTATATAATACATGGAAATATAATACTATATAAAAACATCTGGCAATGCCCATCCTCTTGGGCAATATACATTTTGCTGGAAGGATGGCATGTTCAACAGAGAGGCTGTGGATCAGAGGCAGAAAGACCCAGGCAGAATGTCCCAGTCCCTGGCATCTCCAGTTACAGATTCGGAAGTAATATGTGTTGGAAAAGACTCTCGTCTGCCTAAAAGCTGATATCAGTGAGATGAGGCACTTTTACAGGAAAATCCAAGGACCAAACTTGAGATATTCTTGCATGCTAATCAAATGTTCCACCACTGAGTCATGGCCCAATAAAGTGTTCTGAGGAACTCAAAAGCGTATTTCAACTTTTTCAGCCTGTGGGCACCTTTGGAATACTGCCGCGGGGGGTGGGAACAACCACAAAATGGCTGCCTTGGGAGAGGGACCCACATCTCCCCCCACACACAAAGGAAGCTAAACTGCAAGGAACAAGAGGAGTGTTTTAAAAGAATACACTCGGAAAGTGAGAGAGAGAATAAAATCAATACTATGGTGATAGTGGCTGCCAAAACAACGTTATTCTAAACTGCATGGCCCTGGAGAGCCCAGGCAAGCCCGATCTCATCAGAACTCAGAAGCTAAGCAGGGTCGACTCTGGCAAGTACTTGGATGGGAGATCTCCTTAGAATACCCGCAGTTGGGAGGTTGGGGCAGGCTTTATTCAGGGTCACCCAGCTGGCTGCCTGTGGAGGTGTGGGGAATCAAACCTGGGTCTCCCAGATGAGAGTCCGCACTCCTAACCACTATACCAAACTGGCCATTGGCCTGATCCAACATGGCTCTCTTATTTTCTTATGTCTGGGGCAGTGATACTCTGTCTTCTTGGTGCTTGGGGGGCCACAGTGGGAGGGCTTCTGGAGTTCTGGCCCCTCTGGTGGACCTTGATGGCACCTGGGTTTTGGCCACTGTGTGACTTAGAGTTTTGGACCAGATGGGCCATTGGCCTGGTCCAACATGGCTTCTCTTATGTGCTTATTGTTCTGTGCACAGGGAACAGGGATGGATAATTAAGTATTTATGATAACTACCTAATAGCCAGGGGTCGTTTCGTAGAAAAAGAGCTAGGGGAACTCATTAGCATAACTCATTAGCATATGCCACACCCCCTGACATCAGGGGAGCCGGCGGTGGACCTGAAAGGCCGGCGGGAGTGCAAGGAAGCCCCGCTTCTGGCCCTCCCTGGCCCCAGGCAGGCAGGGGTGGGGAGAGGCGGGGAGGAAGCAACTTACCCTCCCTCTTCTCCTGCCTCCTCCTGGCTAAATGAGGGCCAGAAGTGGGGTGGCCGGAAGCAGGGGGCGGGGCTTCATCGTGTGCCCCGTCCTCCGTACCTCACCCGGGGGAACTGCGATCCCCCGCGATCCCCCCGAATCGACCTCTGCTAATAGCTAACTAATAACTAATTAAGCTGAGAAACAGAAGCTGCTTAAAATAACACAAAGGGAAGGAGAAAAACTTTAAAGGACTGCACGCTTGAGTAACCTCCATTGTCGCTCTGCTCTTGAAGGCGCTGCAGGGCCCCATCAGCATCTGGGGTAGGCAACCAACAAGGGGATAAATGTGCATTAGATCTATTTTGCTTCCAACCCACTTGCAAAAAGCAGCAACTTTACTCACCCTGTTGCTCTCGGCGACCCGCTGAGCAGCTTCCCTGGCCATGGCCTTTGCAACAGTGTTGGGGATGGGTGTGCCTTGTGGCTGGGGGAGTATCCGATTTGGAGAAGGAGACCTCCCCCCATGGACTGGGCTGTGGAAGTTGGGAGGCTCCAACATGTGTCCGTGGACGGGAGATGCCACACGGGTCTGCTCCCACGATTCATCCCTTTTTACATGCGGACATAGATGCTCGTCTTTGGTATCTGGGATGCCGGCACTTGATAATGGCTTAGATTTGGGAGCTGGCCGAGGGTGAGGGGTCGGAGGCACCAGTAGGTCGGGCGGAATGGCAGCGCTCAGTGAGTCCACAGATTCCCCTTGGACAGAAAGCGTCCGAACAAAAACTTCCTTGGCTTCCATGTTCCGGAGTCTTGTTAGCTCCACAACGTTGTTCTCTGCCACAGGAAATATTACTTCTGCCACCTGAACACACATATGCACACAGAAAGCATTCACAAAGGGGGCCAAGTTCTTAAGGCACACAAAATGGAGGTTTTGAATATTGCAGAAGGGGAAGGAAGGAGGGGGTCTCAAAGTGGCACAGAAGAAGACCAGCAACTCCAGCAGATGATAAACATAGGCTTGCCATTGCCATCTGCTAGCATGCATTCCCTAACCACACACCCCCCCCAACCACCTCAATCTCCTATCCTTGATAATTTCAGGAATGGGAGAAAAATTGCTGGGAAAACGGCATTGATGGCAAACCTCTAAGAACTCCCCACAGTCTCTATGGTCTTTACCCAAATGGGGGGGGGGGGAATGAGAAGGAAATAGTGTTGATGGTGAAGCTCTAGGAATTTCCCCCAGTCTCTTTGCCATAGAAATTAGAGGAAATTCCTAGAGTGTCATCCAAAAGTGATGTCATATCCTCCAGAAACCCCACCCTCCCCAGACACTGTACACCCCAAAAAACCTCCCTGCATTTGTCAGTGCAGGGTTGGGAACCCTATAGGGGCATAACAGTAGTTCATTAAATCTTGCAGAAGAAAATAGACTTATGATAGCAGAGTGGAAAAAATAAATAAAACAAAGTAAGTTTGTGTAACTTCCATGCAAGTTCTTATTTAAAAAATGAGTTTTTTTCCCCTGAGAAAACTTGTGAAAATGGGGGGGGGGCGCTAATCAATCTACTGGAATGTTCAGCTTTAATCTGACCTTTTGGAGGGAAACATCACAAACCTGACATGGAAGTCTGGGCCACCCATTTGAATTTCAAACAGAAATTCTAGCCCAACTCTGATTTGAAGTTTTTAGACTCTTCCATTTTATTGTTTCTGCAGCAATGCCATACCTGTGGGCAGAAGGTAGGCATGGAAAATCCCAGAAATAATTAAAAAAAAGACTAACCCAGGTATGTGGAGGCAGGTGTACTTGCCAATTTTTTTGCAGGATTAATATGTAAGATTCCACTAGAGTTTAAAATACCTCTTGGCACATGGTCTATTTGTGGCAAATCCAGTGCCCTGATATAAATCAGCAGAATCAAGTGATCAAAACATTTCATGGACTGGTCATCTCAGACTGCCTGTTTAAATGCTCCTTCATACATATGAGCTCCCTGCATACAGAAAACTAGCATTTAAGGGGAAATCTGGCTGAATCCTTCTTGAGAAGCTAGTTTTCTACATGTATGGAAGGTGTGTTTTTGTGGGGGCTTGGGGAGCACATGCATGTGCCACCCCTGAATTTGCAGCCTGAAGTTGTGAAGACTGGGGGGGGGGGAAATCTACAGTTCAGTGCTGCCAACTGAATTGACTTTTACCATCATTTATGAAGGAAGGCCATGCAGTCCCTGCTCAGAAGAACTGTCCTCTCTAGTCATTCCACAGACAAAAGCTGAGTTTTAAAAAAAGACAAAAAGCTGAGGGAAATGCTGATCTTTTGGGGCCAGGAAGCAATTTTTCTCCAAGCCAGTTTGGCCAGGGATCCTGGTTGTTGTTGGTTTTTTTGTCATCTTTTGGGCATGGAACAGAGCTCACTGGGGATGTGGAGGGGGAGGTATTTGTGAATTTCCTGCATTGTGCAGGGGGTTGGACTAGATGACCCTGCAGGCAGGTCCCTTCCAACTCTACGATTTTATGATTCTAAGCCAATGCTTCACTCAGAAATTGATTTGTGGAATTCACTGCTACTGAACATGGGGATGGCTGTGACTTTAGTGACTTTAGTTGGCTTTAAAGGGAAATTGGATAAATCCATGAAGGAGAGGTCCATCCGTGGCTATTATTCAAGATAACTAAACAGAAGCTCCATGTTCAGAGGCAGTAATTCTCTGAATAGCTGTGCTGGGAAGGGGGCAAAAACACAGGAAGCTTTGGCCTCTGTGCCTACTTTGTAGGACTTCTGGGGGCAACTAGCTAGCCACTGTGAAACAGAATGCTGAATTAGGCGGTCGTTTCAGGTGGGTCGCCATGTTGGTCTGCCGTAGACGAACAAGATCTGAGTCCAGCAGCACCTCAGAGTCCAACAAGACTATTAGAGAATAAATGTTAGAGAGTTTCAAATCTCTCTTTGTCCGATGCAAATGAGACGAATTATTGCTCTGATCCAACACGGCTGTTCTTAAAAGCATGTCCGGGCTTAGCATAACTCTATCGGAAAACTTACTGAGAACTCAGAATTTGGATACGTCCCAGTTTATGTAACAGAAAGACATAAGGTTGTCAACCACGAAGGTGGATATATTGACTATCGCCGCCATTAACTAAAAGGAATTGCTACCTACCCTTTGACCTTTTGCATAAACACCATAACCAGTAACATTGGCTCCATTGGAGGTTCCTGTTGCTGTAAGAGCCGGTGGCTTCCAAGAAACCAATAAAGTTCCTGGCGATGGCCCAGCCTGAACTCTAACGTCTTGAGGGGGAGCCGGAGGACCTAGAATGAGAAACAAACTTCAGTTAAAAGTTGGTGCCTTCCATATGCCCTGTGAATGGAACCCCCCCTGCCAATAAGTTTAAGATGCCAGCAGAAACAAGGCATATGGACAGGGCCTTCTCTGCAGTAGCCCCTAACTGTAGGGCAAGCCAGAAGGAGTCATCCCTCCTGCTGTCGGTGGTGGAAAATGCTGTCAAGTTGCAGATGAGTTATGGCGACCCTTCATGGGGTTTCCAAGGCAAGAGACAAACAGATGTGGTTTGCCTTGCCTGCCTCTACGTAGCGACCCTGGAATTCCTCAGTGGTCTCCTATCCAATTACTAGCCAAGGCTCACCCTGCTAGCTTCCTGCTTAGACAGCCAATGTGGTGTAGTGGTTAATAGAGTTGGACTAGTATCCGGAAGACCCAGGATTGAATCTCCACTCGTGCCATGGAAGCTCGCTGGGTGACTTTGGGTCAGACACACTCTCTCAGCCTAACCTACCTCACAGAATTGTTGTGAGGTTAAAGTGGAGGAGAGGCAACTGTAAGACACTTAATAAAAAATAATAATAAAAAGATGGGGTACAAATGTATTAAATAAATTAAATAAACTCCAGATATCTGACAAGATCAGGCTAGCCTGTTCTTACAAGTTTTTTATTTAATTTCTTTTAAAATACCTTACTTATCTTTTAAAGCTTTATGGTCACTCTTCTTATTGAATCATTATTTTATCATTCAGTGCCATACCAATTTACTTTTAAATAAAATAAAATGTTCAACTGCTTTTGCAAGGTCTGTCTTTTTAGGGTAGTTATCTTGGGGATTAAATCGTGATTTATGCTTGCTGTTTTCTTGAGAATTTTATTTGTATTAGAACGGAGTCAAAATTAAACAAAATCAAAATTGATTGCTTGTTCTACAGTCTTGGGGCTGCCGCAGCAAAGGCTCCGCTTATTTCTGCTGACATCTTAATAGGCATGGATTATGAGACTTTGAGGGGTCTGACTCGTCAATGTTATTGCCAGTTGATTCTGTTCATTGGCCCATTCCAAGTTTGATATCAAAGTGTGGTTCCCTTTGTTGACATTTGCATTCCAGAACCCCCAAAATTGACATCAGAACTGGGCTATTTTCGATATTTGAGAGTATTTGGAGTACTGTGTACAGTTCTGGTCACCACACCTCAAAAAGGATATTATAGCATTGGAAAAAGTGCAGAAAAGGGCAACTACAATGATAAAAGGGTTGGAATACTTTCCCTATGAAGAAAGGTTAAAATGCTTGGGGTTCTTTAGCTTGGAGAAATGACAACTGAGGGGTGACATGATTGAGGTTTACAAGATTATGCATGGGATAGAGCAGGTAGAGAAAGAGGTACTTTTCTCCCTTTCTCACAATACAAGAACCTGTGGGCACTCAATGAAATTGCTGAGCAGTCGGGTTAGAATGGATAAGAGGAAGTCCTTCTTCACCCAAAGAGTGATTAACACATGGAATTCACTGCCACTATAAAATCAACGCAATTTGGAGTTGCAGAGTTCTTGCAGCGTTTCTTGTGCAAGCAGGAAAGCAACTGGGGACACGTAATGTTTCACTTAGCGCAAAGGGCTGGTGTGAAGGTCAGTCCGTATTTTCACTTACACAAGAATCCTAGCACAGGCGGAAACCTTTTCAAGGATTCAAGCCAATGTCTGGTCATTAGATCCTGGTGTTTTATTTATTTACCTCATTTATCCTTCGCCTTTCTCACTTGGACTCAAGGCAGGTTAGAATGAGACATCCAATAAACAACGCAATAGGATTGGGGTTGTAGAACCAACCAGAAATCTAAAAACAGAACTGAGGCAAACCATGAGTCTTGACACATTAAATGATACAAAAATGACATCGTAGGATCCTAGTTTCAGTAAACTAAACACAGTGGGATAGACCCCAGTCCCTAATAATTTATCATTTATCCAAATAACTCCGTGAAGCTTTTTGTAACAGTGCTACACTATTGCCTGCGCAGAAAAGCTCCCTTGAATAATTCAGTTTTGCATTTTTTGCCGAAAGCCAGGAGAGCGGGAGCTTTCCTGACCGCCTCAGGAAGGCCATTCCACAATGCCCCCCCCCCTGCAACGGAAAAGGCACATGTATGGAAAGTTGTTGATTTTGCCAATTAACCAGTAGGCACCTGCAGAAGACCCTTCTCCGATGAGTGAAGCTGTTGTGGTGGACAGACAAGAGGGACCAAGGCTGTGGAGGGCTTTTTATGTGATAGCCAATACCTTAAATTGAGCCCGGGAACTGATGGGCAGCCGGTGGAGGGATTGTAGAATGGGAGTAATATTGCAGAATGCTGAATGTCTGCATAGCAAAGGGAAGACTGCAGAGAGAAAACTAATTGCAGTTCTAGGTCTGATCGCTGCTGGTAGCAGGGTCATTTATTGATTTATTAGATTTTTTTAATCCACCGCTCACCCAAAGGGTCTCGTGGCGACTTACGACATGAAAACCGATTAAGGTAAAAACAACATTAAAAAATTAATATAAAATATTAGCATTAAACAATTTGGCTTTGCATGCCCTGCAGAAACCAAGCAAGTTCGGCAGGGCACAGGTGTCATCCGAGAGAGCATTCCACAGGGCAGGGGCCACAACTGAGAAGGCCCTTCCCCTGTTAACCGAGTCATCCCAAGGCCAGACCCCTGCAAGAGGCCCCTAGACAATGACCAAAGGTCACAGCCAGCCTCCCTCGTCAGTTGGGACTGCAGCATTTCTGGAGAAGGCCACAGTCTCCCCTGCCAATTTTTTTATGGGAGGAGGGAGAGCTGGGCCAGACTGATTCTCACAGCAGCATGGCAGGGAAGGATTCAGACACTGGCATGATGAAGTTGCCCATCCCTGCTCTAGATTACCCCTTCCTCTCCTTTAAGCACCTTGCTTTGATCACAAAGGTAGCTAAGCGGATGCTTTGTAACCACACAGTTACCGGAAAACAAGTCCCCCTTATTTAAATGGAACCTGTTATATCAGAGATTAAAAGCCTGCTTACACACACACACCCATTCTGTATTCGTACTGGCAACAGCCACGGTTGATAGGTTCCAATCACTTTTGCTTGTTGATCCGATTGAGGATCTGTGATTCTGTTAGGATTTTAATGACACCTGTAAGCTATCTTGAATAGCTTGGAAAGTCAGGGCAGCAAATACACTCAATAGGTCAATGAAACAAAACATACAAGGATGTTAGATGGCTCACAGGAACGTTTGACAGCAAACTTCTGTCATTCTTTTTTCCCCCAGCCCCCACAAGGTTGATGTGGAAAGGAAGAGCAAAGTGCCAAGAAGTCAATCAAGAATGTAAGAACCCGCTGCGGAGGGCCATCGGCCAAACCTGGCAAATTGCTCTCCGGAACATTTGAGCACACACTTCCACATTCCAAAATTTCAAAGCGACTCCTGTAGGAACAATTAGAAGCGGAGGAGGGAAAGCTGGGGAGCTTGCCAAACTCCCTGAATCTCAGAATTTCCTTCAAATAATGTGAGGGAAAAACCCTCTACACTGCAACTTAAAAGACCCACAGTAAATAAGCAGTGATATGATGGCAGCGAGGTAGCAGTTTAGGCCAAATTTCTGTTGTAAAGACTCAGGTAGATGAGGGGGGGGGGATCATGTTTCTTGTTCCATCCATGAATGCAAACTTTAAGCTTTTGATGCCTCAGTTTGCCTTGGAGGCATACAGGGAAGGCAAAGGGTGTTTAACCCGTCAACTTCCATCTGTTTCAGCCACTTGAACCTGGGATCTCTACTTTTGTTATTAGTACTTTAAAGAGGAAAATATGGGTACTTTAAAAATATGCTTTCCACCCCTTTAAAGTACTAATAGCAAAGCAGGAAGCCCAGTAGTGAAACTAAACGGAGGGCATTAAGAGAATCAGCATTCTGAGAATCACAGTCAACATGCAGCCATTGCAACTGTTTCCTGCAGAATTGTGCTGTATTTGAGATCTGAGTCATTATCAATTTAGGAAATCCATTGGGTTTCAATAAATAAGCTTTTCCCAGCTTGGTTTACTTATTATACAGCTTTCAAGTCATTTTGCCCAACTCACCAACTGTCTTTGGTGGTAGCTCAAGAAAGGGTTTCAAATGGCATGTTTATGATCTTCAAAGAGGATCCACCTTTATAGCCGTGTTGGTTGCAATTTAGCATTTGAGTACAGAAGAGTTTGGCTTGAATTCCTAGTATGATTTTCCTGGAAATTTAGATCTATAACCCGGTTTTCAAAGGGTTTGCCTATCAGGCAGTGTTTTACCAGCCCAACTAATGCACCCACAAGAAACTAGTCCTGGGACCAATGAAACATCAGTTCTGCCAGGTTTCTCTCCCTTGACCTGTCACATTCAGTTCTGCCTTGCCCTTGATCTACCAAGGTCCTGCCCTTTGTCTTCCTGCTCCAGCTTCACCATTCAACCACAACCCTAGTGGACCTGTAAGATGGCAAATGTTCATGTCCTGCTCTAAAGTAAAGGTAAAAGTTCCCTTGCTCGAAAGCCAGTCGAGTCCAACTCTAGGGTTGCGGTGCTCATCTCCGTTTCAAAGCCAAAGAGCCAGCGCTGTCCGAAGACGTTTCCGTGGTCATGTGGCCGGCATGACTAAACACCAAGGCGCGCGGAACGCTGTTCCCTTCCCACCGAAGTGGTACCTATTTATCTACTTGCAATTTCTTGCTTTTGAACGGCTAGGTTGGCAGGAGCTGGAACTAGAGACAGGAGCTCACTCCGTCATGCGGCACCCGGGTCTCGAACTGCTGAACTACCGACCTTCCACAGCCTGCAGTTCAGCGTCTTAACCACTTGAGCCACTGCAGCTCCTTGTCCTGCTCTAGAGATGCCCAAATTCACCAAACATCTGTAGGAGCTGGCTGCCCCATCCATTCATTTTTTTAAAAAAATGGGAGCAGAGCAACAGTGTCAGTACACTTTCTCTAATGGAATGAATGGAGAAGATGCTGTGCTGTGGGAA